TTTCAATATTACGGCGGAGAGGTGTTCCGTGCGAAAGCAAGACCGGAAGAACTAGAACGGGAGTTCTTGACAGTGATTGTCAACCTCATATGCGTATAGAGCGCCCCGATTCGCTGACGGTATCGCTGAGAGCTTCCTCGACCCCCTGGCCGAGACTCAGCATCCTGTAGCAGAACAAGAGGAATATTTCCGAGAAAGAGCTCACCTAGTGGAAGACTTCAGGGAAATGCACGCCGTGCCAATGCACCATCATGTTACCCCATTGAGCAGACGGGGTGCTAAGAACGATGAGATCACCGTGTCCTATCCAGCAACCAACCGGCAGCGACCGCCGTGTCTGAGCGTTTGGCTCTCTTCGCACTCAACTTGGCTCCCACGCTAACCCTAGCCGGGCGCCACATTCCGCCGTCGACCGGCGCTCGGTGGGACGTCTTTGCTACTTTCTTGGTACTTTTTGTTCCTCTCCCACCCACTTTCCATTCCGGTAACCTGTGGCTGATATTTTCTTCGAGGACAGCTAAAGTTTCATTCCATCCCCTGGCGTCCAGGGACGGAAATACAGCCACAGAGCCCCGGCTTTAGCTCTGGCGGGCACGAAGAGCGTCAGCGTTCAGCATGTCTTCGTTGGGTGCATGCAGGGACGTATAAGGGAAACATATTCCTACCAGAGAAGAAGGCGCCCGAACGATCTATGATCTTCGATTCATTGACCCTAAATCCCTGCAATAAGGAAAGAGTTGATGGGCGCCGCGATGATTGAATATATCGATTGACATTTCTCAGAACTCCCGGATTCCCCCCGCAAAAACTTGTCGAAGGGGCATTCTGCGAGTCTGTACACCGGTGCGTACGGATCGGGGGCTGAAACGCTCCCCGCGCCTATGAGTTTTCGGCAGTGAAGTCCCGGTACCATGGTACCGATGCAATCGTATCATGACTGCGCCGCCTTGTTCCAAGAGCTCCTCGGGCCGCGCCCGAGAGTACAGAGGCGGCTTTGCTCCGATAGGATTCGGGACATGTGAGAATCGACGTGCTGATCGATCTCGGTGAATGAATCTTTTCCTGTTGTCGTCCCTTCCAAGTATAGCGTCTTCGTCGTCGCTTTCACCACCTCAACTCAGAAATGATGCTTCGAGATCATGCCATATGGAAAGTCCGAGGCCCAAGGAAATCCGCCGCTTATGCAAACCTGCTGCATTTGCCGTTCCATTCATCCAGGAATTGACGGGAGGAGATCGAGAAGAAAACGCGATGCTCCCCGGCGATTGCACCAGGGTCTTCGAGAGTTCTCTTCTGCATCACAAAAAGCCTCTGCGATTGAAGGAGACGCTACTTGTCACTATTCCCTTGTCCGATCCCAAATGAGGGTGAAATCAGTCTGTCGTTCAAGGTGATCTCGCTGCTCGATTCGATTGCTCCGTCCGCGCTCCTGCACAGAGTTGACGCCTCCTTCCTGGTCGATAATGATTTCATTGAATTGCCGAGAATAACAAAAGCTCCGATCCAGAAGTTCAGCCCGTACCGAATTCCGCCGCCCCCCGGCATCGGCCGCCCCAGTCTCGCATGGTGAGCCCGCTGGTAAAATCCGCCAATCATCCGTAAAGACTCCAATCAATCATCTCCTCCATGTCCCGCGATGAGCATGCCCGTCCTTTGGACTCTTGATTGAAATATGTAGAGTGGAGATACCGACGAACTCCGAGGATATCGATCGGAATATTCCGGAGTTCCTGGATCCCCCCGCGAAGACTACTCGGAAAGCATTGAAGTTCCCCATGAAAACGAGGCTTCGTTAGGATTCGAGATACGTGGGAATCGACGACCTGATCGATTCCAGACAATGAATCGGCGCTCGGGCAACCCGAGGGAGCATGTTCTTAAAGTCAGATTTCACTTCAGTCTGGTCCTCTGCTTGACAGGATTCCGACTCTCTCTCATTTCAAGGCCACCGCGGTCACCCCTCTCACGGTGAACGTCAGTCGCTCGCGCCCTCCAGGAATTGAGCGTTTCGATGTCCGGCAGAAGTACTGGATGCGTCCTCTTGGACTCTCAACGTGTAGACCCTCAACACGGACCACGTCACCTCCATGAGCGGAATCGTGCCCTTTGGGGGTCGGTTCCATAGCTTGATTCGAGATTGTTTCCCGGTGGAATGTCCGCTCAGGGATGGTGGCCCGGTGACATTCCTTTCTACCTCGTTTTGGCGCGAGAGGGCTTCCCGATGCGAAGTGGGTGCGTTTCGATAAGCTCCAGTCTTGCACGACCCAAGCGAAAGACGCCCGGTCGTCTCGTGCTGTCCCATTGACATCTTGCCGAACGTATCATTCATTTTCACTTTCCGCTCCGCGGCAAGGAGCTCCGGTGCACCCTAGCGACCGATCTCGACTCATCGTGAGAACAAGTTTCCACTTCCGACTAGTCGTGATGCTCAGAGCCGTCTCCAGCGATCCCACGTATTTTCCGTTGGCTTCAACTTGCCAGAAGAATTGAACTCTTCCCCCTGAAAGAGAGATTGTCTGCTCTCATGAATCGCTGCCGTGCGGAGAGCCATTCCGTCGATTACATGTCGACGACTTTACTGAGCCTTCAAGAATTACGATCGACCCCGAAATCGCTGCGCTCGATGCTTCTGTTCCTCCTAATCACGGGTCGGCATCTCTCGACATAACCCTGGATAGACTGTCGGGATCGTTCGAATTGCTGAGCCGATTATCGCGGCTCGATGGCATTTTGTCTCGGATTTATTCATGAGACGGATTACTGTATGAATTGTGATGCCTTCAAGTCCCTGATGGTCGAGTTCCCACGCTCTGTGAGCGTTTCATCCCATCTCCTGCCCTTACCCCCTTCGAGCACGATGGAGACGGGCCCGCTCTGCTCATCCGCTTTCAACATGGATCGGGAACGAAGACTCGATTACTTATCAATGTCCGCATGCCTCCCGTGAGGACGAGGCCAGCTTTCAACTTTGAGTTGGAGAGTCAAGACGGATTCACTCGTCCAGCTTATCCAGTCGGATAACTTCCCGAAGAATTCCAAGTACAAGATCTTCCGGCGGACGTTCCGTTCCCTTCCTCGGTCAGCCGCTTCTGATTATGTTTTGGAGTTCTACGCTGTCGGAAGCTCCTTCTTTCATTTTGATGGGACTAATGCAGCCCCTACCCGGAAGCGCTCACCGAGATCTACGAGCCCTCCTCGCAGAGCTCCGCGGTCAGCTGAATGTTCCAAGAGAAGTCACCGGAGTTTCGCCCTCGACGACCGGAAGAGCTGCGGCGCGGGAAGTCATTCTTGCTTCCTCCGAGACTAGGCGGCGGCTCTCAATCGGCTCAATCGCAATTTCCCAGAACTCGAGGCTCCCTCAGTCAGAGCTCACTCACAGATTATGGTCGGCTCGTCTCTAAGAGATCGATTCTTTCGTGCCGCGATTTGGCACGCCCTAAGCTCGTCGTACTTCGCCGTCCCAGGCGTCCTTACAAGGAGCATGGACGTCGACGCTCCTGAATGAGACTTTCGCGATGAACCTCGGCACCTTCCTAGTTGAAGGAAATTCGGTATCCCTTCTGACTATGAATCTCAAAGGATGGAAGGATACGAGTTCAGGATGAGCCCGGCTAAGCCCTCTGCGTGAGAGCTTCGGGAGGAAGAATCGGCCTGAAGCCCTCGGGAGAAGAAAGTGGACAGATGGAGGGGGACCGTCGCTTTAGTTCTCTGGCCTCGCTGAGGTTTCAGCAAATGCTTCGAAATTTATACATGTTGCGTCTGGATGAGTCTGCCCGAAGCCTTAAATCCCACGAATGAACCGGTGAGCAGTCTCAGCTCCTTTAATTTCGCAAATATCTGAAATCTACCATGAACGGGGCTTTCCCATTAAACGCACTGCTTCCAGGATATTCATGTCCCGCTTGGAGCCCCGTGCGCGGATCATCTGCTTTACCCCTTCTCTCCGAGACTCTAGGTCGGACGACCCGAATGCAGATGAATATCCACGATGGTCTGACGCCTCGCGGAGAAGGGACCCACTGAGCACCCCCGTTCTGATATAGCTCGATGTGTGATAGTTGATGGTCTTTCACGCCTGCCGACGATTCGCCGATCTGTTGAGATTAGGCTCTGCAAGAAACCGCATATTTCATGAAAAACCGCGGTTATTGACTGCGGTTATTCGCTGTCACCCATGGAGTCCTATCTTATAGTAAAACCCTGATTGCGGTCAATAACCGCGATAAGAAAGCCTAGTTGGGATGAACGAAGGCCATCCGAGATGAATCTGATGTTCCTCAGGTGGAGCCTCCCTCTTGAATTCCCTGGGAATCAGCAAACGAAGCGGTTCATCCGAGCCCTTTAGATATAAGAGCGAAGGGAGCAAAGGGCGATCAGCCACCGGTGATAGCCCCGGAGATCCTTAACGCGAGAAGGTCATCTATGTACAACGGCTGTTCCTCCACCAGGAGAGGTTCAGTTGAGATTTCACGTCGTATGTCTGACCGATCGACATCCTTGGCGGAATGGCCGCGAGTCGACCGCGCTTCAGACAGAGATCATCATCAGCCCCGCCACATTCTCCCCCGATAGTTTTTCCCACCGAATTACCCGTTCACGACGAGATCATATACGCCTGTCGTATTGACATGTTCGTCCCCTCCATTGGAGTACTTCATTCGACATACTTTCCGACGAAAAAAAAGCCTAGTCTCAAGCTTAGATCGAGGGCCCTGCTTTCGATAAGGCGGAATGCTATGTAGCCCATGTGGACGTTGAGTTTCGGAGAGATTTTAGGCTCCAAGCAGATCCGTTCCAGATCAGCTTCCTAGTTCTGTCGCTCGCTCGAAGCGGACTTCGAAGGGGCGCGATATTTCTCGGGCTCTTCACGCTTGGCCCGCAGCCGCCGCGAGCGCCGCCATCTTCTTCGAGAATACCTCCATGACACCGGTCGCGGGATCTCGTTGCTCGACTAGAGGCTGTGCGGCGGTTGTTTTCGCGCCAAACGCCGACGGACTGATGGCAGACGCTGCGTTTTGAGCCCGCCTCGAATATTTCCAGATTTAGTAAAACTCGGTGCTTCAATTTAGCGTTTGTTGCGTCTTGTGTAGTCTGAGTGTATGAAGTGACTTCTGTGCAGCGTCCGATATCTCGAGTCGAAGATGGGGGTCTCCAACGAAGACGATCAAGCTGTTCAAGAGCGCTTGAAGGCTGTTTGCGCATCCTTAAATATGGACAAGCAGAGTTCTCACGATGCACTCGAAGCTTTCAACGCGATTGCAGCCAACTACACACTCGAGGTAGGTGCACGGGATCTTAGCGAGCGTCGAATTGACGAGCCGAGACGCATGTCGTCCCGTTCAGGGCGTAGAGGACGTAGCGCTAAGGAACGGCTGATACACCTCGGTTCTGAGAAGAAAGCCGAAATCTTCTCTTCCCATCGACGTTTCGGAGGGGCTGTCAATTTTGCCGATCGACTTTTCCCGCTCGAAAGAGAACTCCACTCGGTGCTCTCCTTTTTGAGCAATCGCACTCTAACTGAGACTCATTTGTCCGACGCTAGGGCGACTGCCGTCATTGGCTCGCATGCAGTTTGTACGTGGCCTGTCGGGAGGGTACGATGCCCACGGTGGCATCAACTTCGAATCTTCAGGGCAACTGTGTCTCTCTGAGAGGGCTTCTGTCAGCCTGTGAACTCGAGTAAGTACCTGCGGTTGGGTTCAAACGTTGATTCACCAATCAGCGATCAGAAATATGCCAGTTTCGTATCCGTGTGACAGGCCCGGTTCTCCAGGCGTCTCCGATACGATGCTCCAACACCGCATGTATAGGAGAGGAGGAGGAAATCTCATGGGAAGAAATTGTCGCTTTGCAGTCTCTTGGAGTTCTTTCGGAAAATGGAGAAGTGGGCTGCCATGACGAAGCTGGACATGGGCCGAAGACTCACAGACCTCAAGGATTCCTTCTACGTCACCACAATCATGTTCTCCAAGTTTCACCAAGTTTTCGTCGAGCTCTTCACCGGATTCGAGCAAGACCAGAGCAATATGAATCGAGCGCGTCGGTACCGGAGGGGTCCGACGTCAGTTTCAGACATTTATCGGCTGTGTTGGTTACTTTATATCTCACTGAAGAGTAACGAGAAGATAAGGATTAACACCGGCACCGTTCCCTGCTTCCACCTGCTACTGTGCTGTCTCGATTTTGTGTACGTTTCGTGCGTGGTAGCAGGTCGTACCGATCTCTTCAATCAGGATTTCTATCAAGGTGAGCTCGCGTCCGTCCCGGCTCCGGAGCGTGGCACCACGGTCACGGAGCGGATAAACGATTCTTGCGGTCCTTTCCGTCGAGTTTCCCGCGAAGTATGGATGAGGAGAAATATCTCGATTGCAGAGCAACTCGGCAAGTGCGAAGCTGCGGGTGTCGAATTGAAGGACATCGGTATCCTCCGTTCCCTCTGTGAGAAGCATAAGGGGGAGCTGTCTGAGGCGAATGTTTTCCGTGTGCACTACCTCCAGCGACCGGTCAAGGAGCTGATCGCCATGGGAACACTCAAAGGGAGCACGGATCCTCTGAGTCTGGCGATCGAATTCAAGGACGTCGAGGTCACAATCAAATGTGAGTCATCCCTCCCGTTGGTGTATTTTGGGAATATAGGGTCGTTTTCCTTATTCGAAACATCATCATCACTACATAAATTCCTCTCTCTCATCAGCATTGAAGCAGTCTCATGAGATGACTGTGCTCCGCGGTGGGGAGCTAGACGAGCAGATCTTCTTGGCGGAGGACGCTTGCCAGAAGATCGGTATCGAGCCCGTTTCCCAGTCGGAAGCCCACGATACCCTCTGCAGGTCGCTCTCTGAACATGTCAAGAAACAGCGAACCATCGGGCTTCAAACACCCTTGACAGGCCGCGGACTGTTGGTCAACCGCGAACCAGGCATCAATCTCAGCCCTGTATCGACGGCAACACAAGGCGCTTCGAAACTTCACAGCCTTCTGGCCGGACGGAACCACATGCCGTCGGAATCATTAAGTCAAATGCTAGCACAAATTATACCCAATCCGGCCGAGCGCATAGATCAGACCATCAAAGAAATGGGAGAACTCTTCTGCACAGCTTACGCTAACCGAGTGAGTATTCAGTCGATCACCAACTGTCATTTTGAAAGCGTCTAAATCCCTTCGCCTGGGGCTCTCAGGGTCGTAGGATCTGAGGGTACGTCTGATCGACAAGAAATAATTCCGTGGAATTTTCCTCTCAGGAGGACGACGCCGAAGCGCCAACCAACCCGGATCTTTTCGATTTCGCGAAGAAACGACTACAGCTGGGCGAAGCTCTTTTCTACACGATTCTCGAGTCGATAATCACCTTGGAACAGAATCCCCAGCGGACTCTGAACAACTTCAGTCTCTCGCTGCGACAGGAACAGTTTCAGAAGTCGTTGTTCGCGAGCTGTCTCGAGATCGTCATGTACTCGTACAACTCCCAGGAAACACTGTTCCCCTGGATTCTGAACATTTTCGGCCTCAAGGGATACCATTACTATCGGATAATAGAGCCCATGATCCGGGCTGAGGTCCGCCTCTCGAGGGAGGTTGTAAAGCACTTCAACAAGGTGAGCTCCTCATCCGACGCGGAGACATTCAACATCTTTCTTTCTTGCGCAACTTCCGAATCTGCTTCCAAAGCTCGCCTTTCAGAACTTGAATTTATTTTCTCTTCACAGATCGAGGAACAGATTTTCGAGAGCATCGCCTGGCGGTCGGACTCCCCCGTCTGGGAGCAGGTCGGTGTAAAGACAGTCCCGCAGGCTCAGCAAGCTTTGCTACCGAGTCAGTTGCAGAACGCAGAAAGTCGACCCGGTGAGTTTCTGGGAGCTCATCTTCCTCGTTGGATGCCTGCTCCATAATTATGTGTTCAGGAGTTTCGAAAGCTCGGATGGAGTGGAATAACAATTGGGCTAAATGTTTGGTGTGTCTGTGCGTGTGCGTGGGTTTTGAGTTTTGCTTGCCTCTAGAAGTGTACCGGCTTATCCCAAAAGTGGATTCGGCTCAGGCTTCACCCTCGGCGAATAGCGTAGCTCGTAGGAAACTCTTTGGCACCGGCGAAAATAACGGAGGTAACCGAGGTGTGAGGGTGTGATGTGATTCTTGTGGAAGAGCTGAATGTTCCCTCTACCGGCGCTATCAAGAGGGAGGATAGTCAAGAATTCCTGTTTTCCAGTTGCAGCTGCTCCTCTCCGTCTAGTGGTAACGCCGGGTGGACAAGTCATGGAGATGATCTCAACGTCGCCTGAGCCGCCGGCTCCCGCCGATGCTGTGAGAGGGAGCTGGGGACTGTTCTTCAGGAAAGTTTATCATCTCGCCTCTGTCAGGCTTCGCCACCTGTGCAATGGACTCCGAATTACCGATGAACACCTGACAAAAGCATGGACCATGTTGGAGCACGTGCTCATTAACGAGACCACAATTTTGAAAGATCGTCATCTCGACCAGATTATCCTCTCATGCGTGTACGCGCTCTGTAAGCTCTTCAAGCTGAACAAGAAGTTCTCCGACATCACTCAATGCTACAGGTACGGGCAGACCAAAGGACAATGAGATCTCAACCAAAGAGGGACCTAAACTCTTTCGGACTCTGCGAGAACTAAGCCGTGGGACTTCGCGAGCGTTTTCTCGATCGAAAGCAACGCGAGCAATCGGTGGTCTTCGCGTTTTTGACAGCATTGATCGATTTCTTGTTTTCAGGAGTCAACCGAACACGCAGAATCAAGTTTACCGTAGCGTCCTCATCCAGTCTGCGGTCGAAGCGCCCGCCGACGGCAACGGAGAAGCTCAGGACGAACAGCGGAGCGATATAATCACGTTCTACAATAAGATATTCGTCCCTCGGGTGCATCCGTTCTTGGCCCGCTTCAGAGACGACTCGGCTCCTAATCCACTCCTGAGCCCCCTGCCGAGAATAAACTCCGGGCTGCAGTCGCCCAAGCCGTTGAAAGTTGCTACCGACATGAAAGTTTTCGTCAGTCCTTACAAAGGCAACATCCCAAGTACTCACAATGCGAAAACCTTCCGCATCCAGCAGAGTCCAGCTAAGGTAATTCGAATGGAATACATAGACCAGTCATAATTTAAGCGAGATACGGCCGCTAGACTTCCTCCAGCTTTTTTGCGATATCGAAGCTCCAATTATGACTTGCAGGACCTCACCGAGATCAATAGAATGGTTCAGCGGAAATCCGAGGAAATGAACGCCGTACGGGCTAGCAAGAGAGCACTGGATATGGATGGAGACGAGCCCGAAAGACCGAATCGACTTCAGAAGAAGCTCCAGTCAATGTTCGTGGCGACGGGGTAGACATTTCGAACTCTTCAACAAGATTCTGAATCGTTATCATGGGTATCTTGAATATACTATCTACGACAATCGAGGAATAAATAGCTTCACCGCGACATCCAGCGTGGTAATCTGTCCGAAGACGATGTTTTTTTTATTCGTCTCATCTCAGTTTATATATGTATTTAATGGTATGTGTAATGTATGTATATATATATATGTATGTATAGTGAGCGTCTGAACCATCTCCACCTCTCCCTGCACATTGAAATCTTCGGATTGCATCTTCTCATGGGAGTTAGCATCAATATGACCAGGATGGAATTTGATGAGCATCACCGGGTGAGGAATGGAGGTTACGGTTATCTTACTCGACTCGTCTGCTCAATGGCTTCGACTCCGTCAGTGACATGGGATCATGAAGCTCGAAAGTCGCGAGAAAGACCTCTTTCACACACTTCGTCATTTGACCCTGGAAATCGCCGCTAAGGTGACACAGATCTCTTCTGCGGAATTCCTGTCCCTAGTCGAGCCCTGTAGATCGGAAAGGCGAGCTGAGATACCGGATAGTTCATTCATGTAGATGTTTGTCGAAGCCCCCCAGTTCAAGCCGTCTATGCCCATGAATCCCGGTTTTGAGATCCGGGGAGATAGTCAGGAAGAATTTTTTCCCCGCTGGTCACTCCGTCCATCATTACCAACCATGAGCAGTTCTTCGATCGTGAAGGCGCTCGTCTCTCCTCGTCTCACTTGGAACCGTCGAGGGTCGGGGCTGCAACCTCAGCCAAGCGACCTCGATCAGGCAGCCGCGAAATCGTCTCGGGAATCGGTGCCGGGTCCCATATTCATGTCATACTCTGACTCTATCAGGAACATCAAGCTTGACGAGGCTTTCGATGGCCGGACTTCGAGAATCTCAAGATTCACTTCTCGTTTCCCTCAGAGACGAGACTCTCGATCAATGAGCGATCCCCGGAGAAGACGTTTCCAAGATAAATAATTGTTCCAGACTGCCGGAGGAATATTCTTTGGAGACCCGAGTGCTTCCCTCTTTCATCGCCACGCCTCTGAGCGAAGACGGACGAAGACCTCTACGAAACCTGCGAGGAGCTGGGCATGATCGCGTTTCTCAAAGAAGGGGAAGGGCACAACGACCAGTGGACCATGAACGCATTCCAATGGAATTAGTTGCTTCGTCTCCGCGCCCAGCAATCAGTCCTATTTATGCTCTAACTCTGTTGATAAGGAGAGGGATCCCGAATCGCTGATTGCGATACTAGCCGCACAGGATGGAGTACCTTTGAAGACCGCCGCGAGTTCTGAGGTCCTAAGAACTCTTTCCGAAGACGTCACTGGCAAGTTCATGCGCGCCTCATCGAGACCCATCGGAGCCATCGTGGTGGCTGGAGCCGGGAAGGCGCGCGATGAAGCGCGAGCATTCAAAGAGGGATATCAAAGTTGAGGAGGCTCGTTCGCGATCTCATTCGACGAGGCATCCGCTGTGAACTCCCCTAACCGTTCTCTGAGCGTGAATCTGCGGGCCGAGGGCTCGTATCGAAATGATTTTACGGCGAGAGAAGATACACACCTCGGTCTCTTCAAGCTTACCAATCGAGCCATCACCGCCAATCTCATTGGTGCATCGATACGGAGTCGGCTGGAGAGCTTCGGCGTTAGAATCTTTAAACACGGCATTGTCTATCAAGTGCTTTGATAAATTCGAGGCAAATCCCCAAACCTATCGAGCGCAGCGGGCCGAGGAACGACCAGCTGCCCCAACTGACAGCGTCGCCGGAACACAACGCGAAACGCGCTGGCATAATTCTCGACACGAAAATCGTTCTTGAGGATTTCGATGAGCTGGTCATGAACAAGGCTGCTCCAGTCGAGCTCCATAATACTCTCTCCTTATTGCACGCATCCGAAACCGGCATTACTTGCTCCTGTTTCCGAGGCCATCCTGGCTCATGCTTACCGGATCTTAGCGATACCCATCGACAGGCTGCATCGATCAGATACTTATCTCTGGACCGCATTCAATTCCGCCGTCTCGTGCGAGATTTCGGAAGGGAGAACTCTTTTATCTGCGCTCTTGCAATGCTTGCTGGACTCGATATAAGGCTATGCTCCAGAGAAATCGCTGGTATAACGTCGAAACTCGGAAAAAGAGCGGCTGGACCTAATTCTGTTAATCTTGGGAGATACATTGCGCCCGAAGCTGATATTGTCGAAAACGGAAGGGAAGAGGAGGCTGAACCAATAGGTTTCGGCAGAGGATTCACGCCGTCGACGGTGCTGCTCCGCCGTGGGGAATCTCTGCCACTCCTACAGCCGACCACAGCGAGGCTTCGCTCGGAGATTCAACTGCTCGGAGCCGATCACGGCCGAGGAAAACTCTTCACTCATTGCTTGCGAGAGCTTTCAACGCTGCAGCCGGCCTCCGCTCAACCAGAGAGAGATTCTAGTATTATGAACTCCCTCGGCAGGAAAACTCGAGCCTCCCTCGCGCCAGCATCCATCGATAGTTCGCGTTCATATCTCAGGAAGAGGGAATCTCAAAGCACGCGGACCGATTCGGAATAGAATGAATACAACAACCAAAAGACACGAGTTCTATCATCGATAGACTCAGAGTGGTGTCTGTGTTCGAACCGGTGGCCCATGAGATTTCTTTTTTTCCCGCGGGACTCTTCGGGAATTCCCGAGAATTCGGATCCTCGATAATCGGCAGGCTTGTGACGGGCGAGGCGAGAGCGAAATGCGTCGGCGATGATACCATCAAGGGTGACGCAGTCCCTTTGAACGATTTGGCGGAAAGAGAAAAATCGCCTCGATCCTCTCCACTAGAAATTGCACAATGCTGGCACGCAGGGGAAGAGAATCGGCTGTCAACGAGGAACGCGATCGCTTCTGTCCCGATTCGAGGTGAGGGAATTAGAGAGGGTTAGAGAGAACCTTGAGGAATCATGAATACGACCGCGGTCTCAAGTGTTTGGGTTTCACCTGACGCTGGTCGTCCTCGACCAGAATGAACTCCATGAGAGAAGATAACATGCAGGACAGCTGCCAGAACGTGTCTCTCCTACCTCACGGTAGGTTCTCGAATACGGCCGCTCCTATACTGACGGAGGTCTCAGCAATTCAAGTTTGCTCTCCGTCAGGAATTGAAAAGTAGAAATGGGTTATCGCCTGAACGAATGGGTTATCGCTTATCCGACGGTCAATATCATCGCTCGTTCTCGGAGAGCTACCACGGTAGCGACTTTAGGAAGCAACAGAGAGGGAACCAGGAGAAACATGGGATCTTGATGGATGATTCAGGGTCTCCTGTTCATCTATCTGCTCGAAAGACATTCCATTCTTTCGGAGCCTCAGCTTGTCCGGTGAAATCGAGATCTCCGGACCTATGACAGAAGGTGATGATTCTGAGGACTGCTTAGAATCTCCGCAATGAAGCTCCGGGGACCTCCCCATCAGATCGTCGTTGGGTTCTGCGATGACTCTCGATTGACAGCTAGTGTTCAATAAGATGAAGATGATCGAGATGATTCGGACCCGCTCTCGAGATTCCATGATTTTTTTCGCCGAAACGGATGACCCATCCTGCCGGGAGCGTTCCTTCTGATGCTTCTATACTTCAACTTGGAGAGGATGGACCCCCAAGTAATCTCGCATCTCGGACTTGAATCCTCAAAACGGGCGGCTTTCCTTTTCCCCATCGATATCCAGGAGCATTTCGCTGTTCTTAAGCGAACTCTCGCAGGCACTTGTTCTAGAGACAATGCATGAGATCCTCTCCTTATTCTAGCATTTCCACCTACGATTCTTTCGAGGAGATTGTATTCGCAAATCACCTAGAATCGCTTCCCTTCCAAACCCGGAACCTATATCTAGTTCCGATTGCAACGACGCAGTCTGTCATGGTTTGATTACATACAGAGGGATCCGGGTCCGCGGGAGGAGAAACAAGGAAGTGGGAAATTAGCTTCCCGAATCTCATACAAGTTTTTTTCGCTGACGTCGCCACCGGGTCCGAAAGCTACGGCCTGAATCCCGGAAGTCGAGCATATAGACCGGAGTGGCCCTCAAGATACACATCGCAGTCTAGGCAAGGTTTCTCCCCAAGCGGACATGAGGAGGACTTGTGGCATCATCCGATCCTGACCCACGGGTCGAGATCTTTCAGCAAGACGTTCTGCTCCATTTTAGGATGACCCGGCTGTCCGGCCTCAAGCGCTTCGCGCGTACTCAATTGGAACGGATAGACGTGCAGCTTCCTCTTGCAACCTGGGAGAGAGTAGCTGATCCTGTGAAATTGAACGCGATCTTCACTGAAAGAGAATGGAAATTGGAATCCCCGGTCGCCAATCTGACCGAGGTACGTATCGAACGAGATTCCTTCGGATTCTACCGAATCGACGTCTCGATGACAAAATCTCTTGCTAAGAAAACAGATGGGAACTCTGCAGCCTCAGCAAGACTGGATTCACTGGTTCGCTTGCGATCCGCTCGACGACACTATGGTGGAAATCTTCTTCGAAAGATTCCAGACGGGTGTGGCCAAGGTCTGGATCCACCTGAGAATCCGAGGTCGTTCCCTTCGCCTGTTTCCGAAGTTCTACAAAGACAACAGCGAAGGTGAAAAAAATGCCGTCTTGATCTCTGCAGGCGCTAAATTGCTCCCCCGAGCACCTACGGATCGGGGGCTTGAGCTCCGTGGGCTATTCTTTCCTACCACCCTCAATTGTGAATTGACTCAAATCTCGCTTTGAGCAGGGCACGCATACAGCGCCGGGGGAATTCGTTTGGAGTGTAACGCGCCGTTCAGAAGATGGCGCGTTGCTTTCAACCTGATGATGGAGGATCCTGCCGCGGGGTAAACAGTTCACGTGCGTCTGGGTGCCCAGGTTGCCATGACAGGTCATACGATGGAGCTGCCGAAACAAGTCCGACCGTCTTTCCTGGCTCGAAGTTTCCTAAAAAAGGGAACGCTCGACGAAGCGAAGAATGAAATATCAAAGTGAGCTCGAGGAAACATGAGCTCATTTCGGAGATCGCATTCCTTTTTTCAGCATCAATTTGGAAATTTTCTTCCAGATGCTGCACCGAATGTCAAGCGATATGTCAGCCTAACTCACTGTTCTTTGAGATAATCATTGATGGCGAGCGACATGAGGGTATGCTGTTCGGGTCCCGTCTCAAGTTTTTCGGTAGTTCGAACATGCTGCGAAATGCTGAAGTACACGTCGGCTATGCTGTGGTGGGTGACTTGGCTTCGTGGATTCACAACATATGGACCCGAACTAAACGAGTCCTTCCCCCCTGAACGTTCCTCTGTTTAATTCCTTCCCGCCCTCCTCGCGAAGAATGGAACGACATTCACAGCGATCAAAGCAGATGAAAAAGGATACGGATACTACTCTGAGCCGGCGAATTACTTACGACCGATTCGTAAAACGAGATGGACATCGCACACACCGCCGACGCTCATTATAGAACTCGGTGAGCCGAATTCGATTTCGAGGAGAGCAGTTTCGACACAGATCCTCTACCGTGCCCGATGGTACTGACAATGCGAGGAGCAGCCTGGTTAAGGATGCCGGAGCAACGTCTCCTCTTATGAATTTTTCTCTTCCTAGACGGTCAGAAACACGAGCTCAGAATGAGCGCTCAGATTCCTCCCTATGAATTGGGTAGCCTCAA